TAAATATTAAAATAGTTACATTAAACTTCTTTCGGTTAAATAGAGCTATGAGTTAGAAAATATCATTGATAATATTTTTAAAATGTTTGAAAAATTGTCTTTAGTTAAACTTAAAACAATGGCTAACACTTAACCAATCAAAAAATTTCATTTCATTTTCACTCATTCAGCTCGAACGATTTCTCGGTGAATTCTGGTTGAATTATGTATGCAATGAAAGAAGGGTGTTCTTTTTAAAATTGCTCTAGGAATGAGGTTGAAGGGCTGGGTTGAGTATCGCTTAATGCATATTTTAAAAATATTCCACTCATACATTTTTGAAACAATGTGCATTTTTTATTTTATAACCATCATTGAACAGCTGCCTTAATTTTCGAATATACGACTATCAATGTAGAAATCTGCTAGTTCGTAATTTTGACCACAATCCATAAGACCGGGGAGCGGATCCAGTATTGGGAGAAATTCACCTTTGTTGAGGACTTTTTGATTAAACTAATTTTCGTAAACCCGCTTTTGCGTTACGTGGAGAGGAAAACCGCTAAAATTTCTCACGGTTAGTCAGACGGCAAGGGGACTCTAACCCATGATCCGTCTACCACTGAGAATATTTTACGTCCACACAGTGTTCTGTACAAGACGGGTGCGGAATTCGTATCAACATGCGTAGCTGGAATTCGAACCCAATTCAACTCATTGGAAGGCGAGTGCTCTATCCCCTGTGCCACCACGGCTCATACGTAAGTTTTGAGATACTTGACTGTTTCCATTATTCCATGATTTCCGGACTCTCTGAATCTTAAGATTCATGCAAGAATTCCGATTTTCAAGGATTCATGAGACCAAATTGACTCCAAGATCTAAACTATGCCGAATCATCTGGAGCTCAATTAGGCCATATCGGCCCTTGTGGCTGATAGTGCTCAACAATTTCGAAGTCAATAGCAACATGGTCAATATCATACTTCAGTCGCACATACTTCTCGGAATAGCTGGAACTTATCAATCTGAAGATGGTTGAAACCATATATTATTCAAACAATACGTACTTTTCTCAGAATATAACTAAATGTAGTTGGTAAAGGAAAGAAAATAATAATGGTAAAATTATTTTTTGCAGAATGGAGACATTGCAGTTGTAACTCACAATTTTATTTACTCAGGAAATAATTTTTTGTGCGGCAAAAAAACACAATTTCAATTTAAGCAAAAAATTGTTCAGTGAGTTTAACTTAGTTGAAATCCCAAAAAATATATCAAAAGAATACACAGTACCGATAAAAAAACAGTACTAAGAAGCAGTGTGATTTTAAAAGTACAAGTATTTAAAAAGATATTGCATATCTCTGTATTTTCATCATTTTAATATATTATATATTTTTTTCATTATTTTAAAATCATGTACATGCAATGTGGGAGTTAACTGAATTAGAGAGTGAAAAAAAAATCAAGCTTTGACATTGGAGTAATTCCCAATATATTGAGAAACATGGAAATATTTTCTTAATTTATCTCAGAAAAACACCCACAAATTAATAAAATAAAGATAAAAAATATATATATAACAAAGATTGTGTTGTCTTCAAATATTGGCGCTAAACAATTTCTTTTAAAATTAAACAAGAGACTCTCAAAGTTATACAAAGTTATACTCAAAGTTATACAATTTATAATAATTTTTCACTTTTCGTTTGTTTATTGTTCTACAGCATATTTTCCAAAGTATGTATATTGTTTTGTATAACCTTCCACATTGTAAAGTTAGTATTATTTCCTGCAATTCAAACTTGCTGAAATAAGTATGCTTAGTAAGAAAAATTGAGCCTTCGTTAATAAATTTGGGAACGTGGTTGTTACACCATCGAAAATAGACATCATCCAATTAAACATTAAAAATCTGAAATTGAAAGATGAGATCAATATTGTGAAATTTTGTTTGAGTTCCATTATGTTAACTCTAAAAATTAAACAGCTGTAATATTGCAGTGACTCACGAATTTATTTAAATCTGATATTAGATTCTATGGTGATATAAATAGCAATGAGTAATTCTTATAAATCATAAGTCTTCAATATCTTCATCTCTCAGGTAGGAATGTGTGTATATAACTAAAAGTGTGCTTTTATCTAGTTTAAGGTAATGATAACTAAATATTAATTGCGTTTAATTATAAATTGATTTAAATCTTGCAGAAATGCGAAGAGATCAGCCCATTACAAAATTAATTAAGAGTAGTTAATTCAAAAGAACAAATATTTCAAACTGAATTATTATTTTATCTATAAATTGAGATTATAACTATTGATACTGGTAACTTCACAGAAATTATACCGCTACATTTACAGAAGTCCCCGCGCAAAACTTTAAAAAAGATGACTAATTTTGAAATTTAAAGCTAGAAATATGTTCTTAATATTATAGTTCATGTTAAGAAAGGTGCTTGTAAAATGAGATATCTGGATTTTATTCCAGTTCCATTTTTATACGTATTGAAATAGATTTAATTGATCGTGATAGGTTTATAAATTAATACTAAAGAGTTAAGTTTTCAATCTTTTAAACATATTTCTTTCAAGAATGATATTTATTAATTTTTTAGCAAAAAAAATATGACATTTAGGTGAAAAGGTTAAAATTTAGGTAAAAAGTCAATTAAATGTATTAAAAACAGTAAAAAATATATCAGAGTGTATCTGAAAGAAGTTTTCCAACAATTAAACAAATTGATCCACCAGAAACTATTTCGAAATTTCGAAAGTCATCTGAAAAAACAATGTATAAAAGTGAAGAGAAAACTGAAATATAAATTTAATTATTTACAATTTTAAACAATTAGGTCTCGTTAAAAAGCTTCGATTCAAGAAGTGATTGTGGGTTCGTGTGAATATTTATTTAATCTAAAAATATCTGAATGTTTTTTTTTAATCCTGTTTGTTTTTGTCTCGTCAAGAGAGCAAATACAATTTTTTTTTCATTTTCAAGCTAACAGACCAAAATTTTCGGAATAACTTATTCTTAAAATAAACTATTAAACTACTGTATAAAAACGTTTCCTTAATTAAGTAAAAATACTTATTTTATGAAACCTCGATTTTACGTCCCCCGAATTTACGTTTTTCCCGCATTTTACGTTTTTTTCATCAGGACCCAGTTTTTCCGTATACCTCCAATGTTAATTTTACCCGGATTGTAANTGTGACGAAGTTGTGAATCTTAGTTTGTGACGAACTTAACTGCGATATCCACGGAAAAATAAGAAATTAGTAATTATTTAAAATTACCAATTTGTTCCTAAAGAACCATGGTGCACGGTAGACTTTACCATATTCTGGTTGTTTTGACAATACTTTTTTCCTCAGTGTCAGAGTTCGTATTATATGTATTGTCTTCTGCCTGTTCGGTTAACAAAACTGTAAAATAGAACACGAGTTTATATGGATGAAATATTCCAGATCAATGCCAATAGAAGACCATTATGCTGTTTCTTTCATAGATCTTGACAGTTCCGAAGTGGACTGATCGTTAAGACACGGTTCCCAGCAGATCACCGAAGTCAAGCATCACTGGCTGCGGTCAGTGTGAGGGTGGGTGACCACTTAGATCAGTCTGCGTATGGAGCGAGGGTGTGCGGTATTGGTCCTCGTTAAACTGTGCTACCGCAAAGTGCTCGACTTCGCGTGCATGTCGTTGGGCTACCAAAGTGGGGGTGCTATGCCCCCGCAGATGATCAAAATTGTGATGGCATGTCTTCGGATCATCTTCAGGGATATTTTCCAGACCGTCACCAAGTGCCCATTGTGCAGCTCTAGTGCGACGTAAATGAACTACAACAACAACATAGATCTTGACATCAACACATGGTCTGAAGCACCATTCTTCTGATTTTAAATCATCTTCACTATGCTAGAGGAGATGGTATCGGTGTTTGTGCACTCACTTCAAAGAAACTTTGTTTTCTGGATGACAGATTGCTTGTTTCGTCCTATTTTTTTTATTTTATGTTGCTTTTTCTAACCTATTGTGTTACGAGATGTGATGTATTAATTCCAATTTTTTTTCCTGAAATTTGCATCCACAAGCTTGAAATAAGAGTAATTTTCTTAATTTGACGAAATTCTAGCTTGAATATTTCACCGTTAGACATTTATTGTTTTCAAAAATGGATAAATAACAATTTATTTAATTGTTATTCTTCCATATTCTATCAATACAGTTAAATAACAGCAAGAAAGATTATATTCGAACTATTAAATGTGATAAAAAACGTTTGTTGATTGTGTTTTCCTAATACAGTTTAAAAACCAAAATTCTATCCTCACCAACTAGTTCAGATTTATAAAGCCATTTTGTTCTATTTAGTTGGGGACACACTGTAGTTAAGTGGGCATGATGGGCAGTTTCCAGTGTCCTGCACCCTTCGATTGGTGACCCTTTGACCATTAGAATACGAAATTATCCGTCACGCATAAATGGTGCAGTACCCACAGTGCCCCAATTTCATTTTTACGGTTGTAAGTGGTTACAAAACTGTAAAGGTAACAAAAAAAATTTAAACCCTAAATTTTTTGGTGAATCGAAAGGATAGATTGTTGCAGGATATTTTCCGAATGCAAATTCAGAAAGTGTTTATTAACGGGCGTAATACGTTTTCTTGGATGTTTCGAAAAATTAGTATTCTTGAACAAGTTAAGATAGTTGTTCTCAATTTGATGAAATATTCATTAGGATGCTTCGTCAAACATGTGACATTCGCCAACATGTTCGTCAAACATGTGATTTTTATGAAGAATAATATTCGCAATTGCTTAATACAGAATGACAACATTTGTTTGCATTAAAAAATAAAGTTCCATATAATAGTAACCGTATTATTTTTTCTGATGGAAATAATTTTATAGCGCATTCTAAAATATCAGTAATGTTTTTTTTTCTTGATTTTTAGATAGTTTATTTCAAGTGACGGTAATGTATAAAGTATTTTTTTATCCTTAAATTTCAGATTCTCAACCTCAAGAGCCAGTCATGAATAAAGTATTATTAATCCTGCTCTTCATTCATATAATAGCTTTAGATGCAGTTCTTTCAACTTGTGCAATAATTTGTCCAGAAATTGAATGTGAGCCAGGTTACGTACCTAAGAGAGCTGGTTGCTGCTATCAATGTGTGAAAGGTGAAAGTACTTTCCTTTTATTGTTTAGTAATTTAAGAGAGAAAATAATTGTTTATATTTTTTTTACGTCACCATATTATTTTTGTATTTATGTATCCCTTAATTATTTAAATTACTAAATTGAATAACGTTAGTTAAACGTGAAAACATTCCAAAATTTGAGCCAATTGCTTTTTACTAAATTAAACCCCGCATAACATTAAATAATTCCTACAAATTTCCGATTCTTTTTTTCAGTTAAAAAGACTTTAATTTATGAAAAATTATTAAATAACTCATTAAATGCTTATCAAAAAGGAAACATAAAAGTTAGCAACTATTTTTTTTAAAAATAAACGATGTCGATATTCTTCGAAGAGCTAGTGTGAAATACATGGAGAAAAATGATCAAAATTATTTCGATCAAAATTATATTGGGGGCCTTACTAATAATCGCTGTTCAAATTTTTGATATTTTCCCTGGCAATCAGATAATTTTTTTATGTTATCGGTCTCGCCTTTTTTAGTTGTAATTCGTTATATTTTTGATAGAGCACATGTTAGAAATAGTAGAATCTTAATTATTAAAACCCCTTATATTTAGATTTTTTTAAATTACATTTTGGACAAGTATTAATTGGGAGTGATTATTGTGGACAGCTCTGTGAAACTTTATGTTTTAAGAAAATATTTCAATAAATTTATCAGTATTAACATTTGTCCCCACTTATAAATATTTTTGATTTTATTCTTATTAATTATTAATTAAGTTACATAAACGTGATACAACTAAACTAAAAGTCGTCTATGTTTTTTCTTTGTAAGGTGCATTTGTTAATCTTAGAAATCATTCGATTTCTTCATATCTGTATTGTAAGGTGGATTTGTTAATCTTAGAAATTATTCGATTTCTTCATATCCACAAAGTCAATTTAGTGATGAGTATCCAAAGTGATTTTTGATACAGTCAAGATATTATTTATCTACTAAAAGAAGAATATAATAAACAAAGAAAAAATTGATTTAAATCCGAAGGGTTTTGAAATGTATTTTAAGTACTTATGTCACAATTAACAAGAACGAAAATGTAAAGTTAAATTATGACTCAGTTTTTACGTTAAGAAATTAAGTACTTCATTAAGAAATCATAGCATGTCTTAAAGTATATTTTTCATTTTTTCTTCTTTTTAATGATGATCAATTTTCCAACTTTTACAATTGTCAACTACATTTCGTGGATATTTAAGCATTGTTAATTGTCTCATTTCTGTCATAAAGAAATATTTCACAATCTCAATACTAACATTTGTTGCAATTTATTTATATCTGTGGATTTTTTACTCATTGATTTTTAATTTAGTTGACATAAACGTACTACGGTGAAATTAAAATTAAATTTTTCCAGTTAGTAGGATACATTTAATCTTTAAAATTTCAAGATTTCAGCATATCTGTATAGGATCGAGCGATGAGAATCCTTTTGTTTCTTTTTTTTTATCCCTTTTGCCCACTTATGTTCCACGAAGTCAATTTAGCAGTTATCAACTAAAGTGACTCTTAATACAGAGAAAAATGTGTTTTTTTGTTAGCTAGGATATTCTACTAAGAGGAGAAAGAACGTGGTATAATTCAGATTGGATTTAAACTGTAATTCAATCACATATGTCACAATTATTTAAAACGAAATTTTAGGTCTAAATATTGATCGAATTAGTTCTTAAGCTAAGAAATTATTTTATAAAGAAATGATAACATGCTTGCGCGACTTCTACCCATGGGAAATTTAACCCACGATCTACCGCTGAGAATAATTTTACATCAGCACTGTGGGCTGTTTGAGCCGGGTGCGGAATTCTTATCAACCAGCCATCGCAGTGATTCGAACCGGATTCAATTCATTTTATGTCGAACGCTCTATTCCGCTAAGCCACAACTGTTTAATGTTTCATAACTGAAAAAACTAGGATGATCCCAAGTTCATATTTTTTTCACAGCGCACTTAAAAAATGGAACAATTGTCAAAGTTTTCTCATAACACTTTAATCTCTGTTACTCTATCGTTCATTAAAGTTTAATATTATGCACTTAAAGTCACACTGTAAAAAATTCAAAAACTAATTTCGACTCGACAAAAATGTTTCCGGAAATCTCAAGGAACTTAATTTGATATCATGTTTCTGATCAATTGAGAAACGTTTCTTTTATTATTAAGAGTAAAAAACTGAATCACGTTGAAACCGATCCACTTTCAGAGTGTAGCGTACCTACCACTACAACTATTAAATTCCAATTTGCAGATATATAAAACATGCTACCGATTCTGATGGAAAAGTCTATTCAATAGTTGAGTGCGATTAAGTTTGAGAGCCAGTTAAGTCTGGTTGAGTCTGATATGTGCGTAAACTGGTTAAGTTCCATTAAGTTACTAAGGTATGATGAAATTAATGAATTTAGTTACATTCTAAAATAAATGAACATCTTTTTTTTCTTTCTATGATAGTGTTTAAGAACAATTAATCATGTTCACGATGATTCAATTTTTTTAAAAATCTTTTGTATAAGATAATGCATTGATAATTTTTAAAACAATTCTTCTTTAAATGTGGTAACTACAGAGCCAGATGATTGTCGAACTGATTGTTCAGGATCATACAGCTGTCCAGCGATACCAGCGGAATGTCCAGATGGTGAAGAATTGGTAACACCAATATGTAGATGCTGTCCAGAGTGCCAGAAAATATAGGTATTATTTTGAAGCAATTAAAAGAGAATTTTCTAATTTCTAAAATTTATTTTTCATGTTTGACATATTTGGTGACGCAATTACCCCTCTATGACCTGCAGTTTGTTACCGGGATTAAGTCTAACAATTCAATGAAATAAAAAACACATATTGGGTTGTCAGATAATATTTTGGAATTGCACGTTGATTTGAAGTGTGTAACTAAGAATAATATGTCTCAGAACTAAAAATAAAGAAAAGACAAATTATAATCTTCAATTGTGGATTTAAATAAATAAAAATAAATAGTTGTCTGATAGTTATATTATACGACATAGCAATGCATACGATTGTCCCGACGCCGATTTTCAGAAGAAAGATTTGCCATAGAGCTCTATTAAAAGGCTTAACGGTTTTCAGACTCATAGTAGTTTTAATCATTTATGATTCACGTAATTATATTTACACCCATTGAAAAATTGAATTTATTATTTTAAAACAATGTAAATAAAGTGAAAATGATAATCGAAACAGAAATAGTAAAATTTCGATTTTCACATGAATTTATTTTTCAACAACAATATATTGAATAAGATAAAATAAAAGATATGAATTTTTTAAAACACTATGTACTATTGTATTTTTCCTACTTTATTTTTCCATTCATTATCAACTAACTAAATTGATCATTAAAGAATATATTTGCTTGCCAACCATTCCAATCGCTTAAAATGATTCCTTGCCAATTTTTATTTCAATGAAAAACATAATTCAACTTTTTTATTCATTTTCAGTTTATATGTAACTAATACGAATTTAGAAACAGACTTCGACTTCCAGACTTGCAAATCGAATCTTTTTTTTTTGTTTAAAAAAAATTGATTATTTTTAATAACACATTGAAAGGATTTCTTTTCTTGATTTATAAATTTTTAAAATAGCTATTAGCCTTTCTTTAATTTATAATTTACAACCAACGAGTCGGTTCCGTCAAAAATACGGTCTGCCATTTAATTATGGGAATACTCCTTTTTATCTCAATCTATAATTTATGGGCAATCTGATGCAATTTTCTCTGACTGAATTGAATATTTTTAAAAACCTTATTTCATTTGAGTTTTCAACTCTTCTAAAACAATTTAGGACTATTTTTTTTAATTATGATTTATTACTTTCAAAAATTTATGTAAAAACTATGAATTATTTGAGTGAAAAAATATTATTCAACGTAAACAAAGATTAAAAAGAAAAGACTGTAAATTCTCGCTCTCCCACCAAAACAAAAAGGTGTTAATAAAGTTTTGTTTTGAAACATGTACAGTATCAGTGACAATGATTTTTTTTTCGAAAAATTAAATATTGAATGATTTTTTAAAACTTTAATATGCACCATACTAAGGAAGAGTAAATGATTAATCTGTTTTTCAATTAAATCAGTATTTACTCAAAAAAACTACTCCATTTTTATGTAAGATTGCATATGCGACTCTCTATAAAAATTAATTTTTTTATATATTTACTTAAAATTATATTTTGCATGAAATTATAGTTGGATAAATGAATTTTATAATAATATAAATATTATAATTTATTTGGCTTGAAAATTTCTCAATTCGCTTAAAAAACTCTCGAGAAGCACATTAAATTAACATTAAAAATAACATCAGCATTAAAGGGTTAAAAGTTTGAAACTCTCTCCTGACCAAACTGTTGGGTCCAAAGTTTCCACATTGTGATTACCCCTCGTATTTTAGGGGTCAGAAATCCAAATCCATCAAAAAAAAGGCAAGTTTAATCAAAGAAAATGAATTTTTGTGTCTGATTTCGAAACTTAAAATATCGTCTGCACTAATTTACTGATGAAAAAGATATAATTTAAAGTGCTTTATTCTAATTGCTTTTTGAAGGTAAAATTTAAAAGCAACAACATTTTTCTCATTTCTTACAGGTGCATCATACTCATGGCAGTTATACTGAAACATTCTTGTAAATGAAGTAAAAATCAATAAAGTATTAATATCCTTGCTTTCGAAACTGCTTTTTTGCTTTTTCTTGCACACAGTGCATGTGGGTTGGTAGGTAATACCGTCAGTCTAAAGTATGGTGATATTTCCTTTGAATTTAAAAAACTTAGTGATTTGGGAATATTATTTCGTTTATTATCAGTCGATATTACAAACTGTCTTACATAATAATGTAAAACTACTTCATTCATATCTCAATAAGAAAATATTTGCTTGCGTATACTGGCGGGTAGTAAATATGTGTATATATATAGTATATATATNAAAAAATTTTTTAATTAATGCAATCATTTTCAAAGACATTAGGAAAAGTGAAAATAAAATTAAGGAGGCCAATTTTTTTTAATTATTATTATATTGATTCAACTATTTGAATTGTATTTTACAAATTCTCGCTAACATCATATTTTGGAATTTAAGAATCAAAGAGGAGATTTAATTTTAAAAATGGATATGTTTATTCAAAGAAAGTATGGGTTGGTGACAGACTTTTCTTTTCAGCGAACTTTTCAACGATTTTTCTTTTCATAGAACTAAGCTATTGATATGTTTAGTATGTTACAGAATTACTGTCTTAAATCTATGTTTTTAAAATCTTCATAAAAGTGTATGTATGTATGTATGTGTATATATATATATAAAATAAAATAAAATGGGAATAACATGAAAATTGCTTAACTTAGAAGGAGCTACAGATCTCCTCGAAAGGCAAATTGATCCCAATACTCGAGGAGTTCCCTTGTCTGGATAGTGTTCTAAATTACTAGACTACGGAGTTGAACATTGTTAGGCGTAAATTCAAAATTCATTTGGCTGTTCAACACCGGTTATAATATAAAATAAAATAGGAATCACTAAGAAGGAGCTACAGGGATCATATTATGTATCTATAACTTCTGTATGTAATTATTGTCTCTAAGAAAATAAAACATAAATTTGAAATTACAATATCCATTCCTATCTATATTAAAGCAATCATACCCATTGCATTATAATAGTTTATATACTAATCATCTTGGAAGAAAATACTATCATGTTTTACTAAATTTTATCACAAAAAGAATAAAAAAAGTTTCAAATACTTGAGTAATAAATTCAAGGTCTAATACTAAAAAAATGTAAATTTTCCTATAAAAAATTTAACGTCTTTTATCACCGTATTAATGAATATAATTTTGATCCCCATGTTTGCTCAAGAAAGTTGCATCTTTCTGGAATAAACCTAAAAGCGTTGATTTATTATAAAGTTTTGATTAATCCTGAAAAAAGATAATAATCAATTAAAGAAATGTATTAAATGTGAACTTATTCACAATTTAAAAATGAATGAAACAAAAACATATCATTTTAAATTTGTACTTGTAATTTTAAGCTAAAAAGTGAAATCAAACAAGTTTAAATCAAAATAACCTTCAATTTATTCTAAAGGAAAAGCTATTTCATGTGTCATTCCGATTTGAAGATTTTGTGTGTACAGATGTTAGATTCAAATTACACTACATGCTTCTCAAACAGTTGTTTTTATTTCATTACTTATTGATTTTTTATCTTAAGTCAGACTATATAAGGAAAATAACATGTAAATAACTTCCTGTATTCTAAATAGAGAATAGAACCACAACTTCTTAGCATCTTCGTCTACTAGGTAACAAGATTTTGTTCTGTTCATACTAAATTTTCTCATTGTGCATGAAACAACATTTCCTTCTCAGATCATGTTCTAAATAATATGAATTATATCTAATCAGTAAATATCTGGATAACTTGTAGCTACAAAAAGAAGACAAATATGTTATTAAAACATATACCATAACTACTTATCATATACCATTGCTTCTCATTTTGTAATAATTAAAAAAAATTTAAAGGATTTAGTTATTGTCAATTTTTTTTACTATTTCAGCTATTTCATTGGTTTCTTAAGAATACTGTAAACGTCTTTACTAGCTTCTGAGTTTCTTAAAATTATTGAAATTCTTAGTAATTAAAAAATCTCTGTTAAAAAAAATTATTCCTATTGGTAATGCAAAAAGTACAAGTGTTTAAAAACTATTTCATTAATACTTTGAAAAACTACGCAGTATTAATTCACATTTTGTAATTAAATAAATAGCGAAAATTATTAAGAAAAATTTTACTGTCAATAATTTTTAACTATTAGAGCTATTTCATTAGTTGTTAAACAATGCTATAAACGTTGTTCTACAAACTTCTCTGTTTCTTAGAACTATTGAAAAATCTAAGGTCAAAGTTTTTTTTCATTTCTAATGACAAGTCAAAAAGTACAAATATTAAAAAAATTTTACTAATATTTTTCAATGCTTTTTAAAACTAACTTAGCATTACTTCATGTTTTGTAATGATTAAATAACCAAAACTATTAAATAATAAGTGCTTAAAATAATGCCTTAAACTCCATTTACAAGCTTTTCAGTTTCTTTGAATTATGATTTGGAAGTTGATAAATCTCAGTTAAAAATAGGCATACTATAAAATTTTTTAAGGAAAAACTTTAACGAATTTTTTAAAGTTATGCCTTTTTCATAAAAAACCAGTTATGATATTTTTTAAAAAAAGGTTAATTTTAAGTTTGTAAATTATTTATAGAATTTTTAAAGAAAAATTAAAAAATTACCCAGTCATTATCAGCATTTTTCTAACAGTTTATGAAAAAGAGGAAAGGAAGAGAGAGAACACGAAAAACTAATTTTCGCATCATCGAAAAATGTTCCTTAAAAATAAATATTTAAAATTTATATGTTTCATAGATATCAGATTGAGTAATTTTAGTACTAAAAACTCTAGTAAAAAATGTCAATTGGTTTCCGAATGTAGTAAATAAAATCTTTTTTCCTGAGAACTTTAAGTAATGGTCATTAAAGGTGGTTGTTTAAAAAATAAAACTTTTCACAAATAAAACCTAAATTAAATATTCCTACTACATCTTGGATATTTAAAATTTTTGTTGATTTATGTATGCTAACATGAGTATTTTATTGCACATTTGTGAATCAAGTTAGTTACATGCATCATGTGGGTAGTTAAAAAAATGATTTACTCTTATTTTCGAACTAAACATGCAAAATATCTTATAAATGAGCTTGATAATGCAGATGGTTGTGTGATGTGTTGAACTAGCTTCACCAAATGGCATCTTGTAGTTATTTATTCTGAAATTTTTAGAATAGCATCCATGCTTCCGAAATGACTAAATTTGTAGATGCAATTTCAAAAATACATTAAAATCTTAATTACTACGTGATTATTAATTTGTTACTTCGGGGAGTAATATTTATCAGACGAATTCCGATTTCTTCCAAGAGAAAAAGAAAAGAATTCTGTGACCAAAACACAAACTAGGCTTGTTCCCATTAGAGGAAATTCATAGGTGCTACTTTAAAAAGTAATGTGAGAGGTTGTTCGACAAAAATGAAGAAAACAATTACTTTCTGTTACTAAAAGCACTTGGAATAATTTTTTTCTAAATTCTTTGATTTTTACGCAAATTCTCTCAATTTTTGGAAATCTTTTTCCTCAATAGCACATCTTTTTCTTTAAATAATTAGCAATCATTTTGAAAGGAAATTTTTAATTCAAAGAAGATAAAAACTCTCCTATTTAACACATTTTAACATATTTATGTGAAAAAATACTTGAAAAAATACAATGAGATTTTTAAAAAGTTGAAACTGTTTCTCTCTGACATTTATTTGCAAGTCATTATATTTAAAATTAAGATACATATTTCTTGCTTTAAAAATATCTCTATACTTCCTAAGGTGTTCTAGACAAAATGTTTTAAATGATAATAATACATTACGTTTTGAAATAGGAAGTTAATTTTATATTTTAGAGCTTACAGAAACTAAGAAATGTATAAAATTATTATATTGGCGTTGATCTTGAACGTGGCGATGGCGTTTCCTCATCCTGCTTGTAACTTCGTATGCACTCCTGGGATTATGGAATCATGTCCTGTTCTGAATTGCGGACCAAACGAATCACCGCAGCGTAATCCGTGCGTCTGCTGCAAAGAATGCATGCCCAATGAAAGTAATGCAACTTTCTGTAAACTATCTACATATACTTTGTATGTATTATATTCTTTTATTGCTAATGGGACGCTTGCCCTAAAAGTTTGGAGAAAGTCGGGACTAATGCTCAGTAGTTATTGTTATAATAATCATATTGTGGTATACATAAACTTAAGCTAAACATATAGAAGTAAACTAAAACTGTAATTTAATTGTCTTGTTGAAATTATTTAAACCCATACCATGTATAACTACCACAGACTACAAACCACCTGAATGATGAACATTTTAAATAATGAGTGCGCTCCAAAGTTTGGATCACTTAATGCTAATTTTACTTTCTGCTTATTTCGCAATATTTCGAGAATTTTTTTCTTAAACGAATTGAAAGGTTTTTGCAATCAATTATAAAATTCAATAATCCAGGAGCAATGGCATGCAAAAAATAACTTTTAGTAAATATTTATTATTTCTTATATTTTTTTTTAGTAATAATCGAAAACATTTTGAAGTGTAGGGTATGAAATCTTTGCATCATTTTAAAGAATTTAATTCATATTTCTAAGTACAAAATTTGAGCAAAACCATTCAAATAATTCTTGCGATATCAAATTTTAGGTATCTGACTTCAATCTCTCAAGAACTACTTAACCGATTTTACCCAAATTTTTTTTCTTGTCATGTAAAATTACATTCTTCAAAATGATGTGAAAATTTGTATACTTTACAGCTCGAAATTTCTTGCCGAGGTGTTGCCAGTTCACATTATTATTGTAAAATATTTAAACCTGTCATTGCTGGAATAGCATTTTTTTAATTATTGTAAAAGGAGGCAACTTTTGCATATGTTTAGAGACTTTATGTTAGTTATTATACTATAACAAAATACTAACTTATCCAACGTGCGAGAAAAGCAGAACGAAGGAAACTACGAGCCAGTTCTGAGATTTAACGATCTCGACAATGGAGGCATCAGTTTTAATAATTGTTGTGAAATATTTCAACCCGTCATTCCTCGAATACCATTTTTTTAATTAGTTTAAATAACTTTATATCAAACAGAAAATTTGGTTAAAAATCTCTGCGAAAAACTTTTGTTTTCGACTAAAAATCAAAGAAAATATTAAATGGGAATGTAGAGCACAGTATTCACATATGTAATGCAAAGAAAGATACATTTCAAAATAATTTGTTTTAAATGTTGTTTTTAGAGCAAATAAATACGTAATATTATTTTCTCTTTCTTTACAGCTACATCATAGTCCTGATAATTATATCAAAATATATGTGTAAATGAAGAAAAATTTAATAAAGTATTCATTTTCTTGCTTGTGAATTTTTTTCCCTTTTACTTGAATTGAGTGTGTGCATGAGCATGCCAACATAATGTAACGATGCGTAGCATCTAAATTAAGCAAGAACAAGTGCAGTTGTTTCAATCTCAGGTATAAGCAGACCATACCACGGATTGGAAACAGTTGGCAAAAATTTCGATTCGTGTTAATGGAGCTTTCTCGACAATCGCCGAACAGCCGTGCGCTGATGTTTTTTGTTTTGTTTTTTGTTAGATATGAATGCGACATTTCTTAGTTTCAACCGAAACAATTCTCGAATGTCATTACCAAAAATGATGGGAAAATAATGGAAATCCGCTCTTCTAATAAATCATATATATTAAGTCAAATACTGTTAAAGGAATTAATAAATTAAAACATAATTAAAAATAACGTAACTATATGCTGTTTTTTTAATTATGTCTTTAATTACTTTATTCAATTAACGGTATTTAGGAATCTATTAATACATGTTACGAGTGATCGTTATCAGAATAACCAGTACTCAATATGTGTAAATAAAATAATTTTTTTAAATTGTGCATTGTCTATTAATAGCATTTAGTATTCTAATATTGAAAGAGTATCAATGAGTCTATGACCTCCACAATAAATGAAGTAGTTTTCAAACTTAATACATATTAAGGATTTGAATCAATTTTTCACGAAGTTTAAAATCTCATCTCATTGCAAAATAAGTGATTCAATAAATATTTTTTTTTTGCAATAAAAACTTCTAGTAATGAAATAATTGCTTTCAAACGTGATTTTTTATATAGTTTCGCACAAACTTGTTTTAATATTCAGGTTAACTCCAGGCTTACAGTCTGAACTGATAAAATAAAAAACACATTCAAAACTCATATAATTTACTTTTAATCAATTCTCATTAAATCAGATAAAATTAGATATCATTTTTATGAAATCAGGTATTTTCATGGATTCAGATTAAGTTCAAGATATGTAAATATCATTTAGAGTTCAGAGCTAATGACATAGGTCATTAAAGAAAAATCCCTTCATTTATATATTCTTTTTCCTCTTAGAATCAATTGGACGGATATTTCTTTTAGCACTAGCGAACTTCCGATTACTTTAAAATTTTAAAAATATGGATTATTTCATTTTTAATAAACTATTACCTTAAAGCGTAATAAAATTTTTGAATACTCTGATTTTTTTCCTAGTAAATAATATGTCTTTGCTAATTTCTAAAAAAAATCTTAATAAGAAAGTTTACATTATTCTTTAATCAAGATGGAATTAATAGCGATTATCACTAAAATAATACAGATTATATTTTCTTTCAATAAGAGTAAATTTGAATTAATTTTTCAAAATAGTGTTACAATAAAACATGGTATTAAAATGTTACGTTATTTTTTGTGATTGGTTCATTATTATTATATAATGAGCTAATTACAGGAATTGTCAAATGCAGGAATTGTATTTGACACGAACCAATATGATATTAGTTCGTGTCAAATACAATTCCAGTAAAAAAAAATTTAAAAATTAAATCTGCTATAGCAAAAAACAAGATCATTTTATAAAATATAAATTATTGCGCTTAATCAAAAATAAATACTGTGTATTTGTAAAGTGATCCTAACAATAAAAAGTTTATTTTCTTTTTTAATTCTCTGCAAAAAGGAATTAATGAGTTATTTTTACAAAAATTTATTCATCGCACACTTAAAATTTATCTCCAGATTAACAACATGAGCTTACAAAATAGCAAAAGTTGCATGAAAAAAGTTATCTTCCTATATATATATATAATCTTCAAAAAACTATAATTCCAATTATTTTCTATAAGAGATAGGACGAAAAACGTATTTCGAAAAAGTGAAATTTTGACGAAAAGCACCCGCTGAAGCGTTTATTAATTTATTTACTTTATTTTATTCATAATGTAGAAAAAGAAAATCGAATTGCGGTTTAGGTTAATGTAATTTCGTTCTCCCACCACATTTACGCGTTATCATCACCAATTCCAACTGCAATCGCCAAGTTTCCAATCCGTGGTATGTTCTGCTAATACGCATACGGGAGAGTACGAAAGCTAATGTAAAAGTACGAAATTTACCAATTTTTTTTTACCCTGTATGAAGAACGGTATTCAGCGAGTTGAAGATATATTTAGTACCAGAAAACGAAACTGGATACTTGAAGAATCGCAGAATAAAAACATTTAAAAATGAACATTCTTTTATTTATTGAAAATTGCTTATATATTTGTAGAGAGCAAAAAAAAATAAGGTGTAATGCATGGGATGTCATCTTATTTGGAGACAGTTGTTACCTTAATTCATCAAGAGATGATCAAAGTAAGTGTTATCAAAGTATTTAATAATTCTACATTACAAAACGTAAAAACAAATTTATTTAAAAAATAAATATATATTTTTTGATCAGAAAGTTAAGGTAGAAATAAAAGAAAATATGCTCATAAAAGTAGAACTTCTAATTTAGGCCTTTTTAAGTATGTTCTGCAATTTCTTTTGAGAGCAATAATGAAGATTTACTTTTTTCCCACAATAAATTTATTCTAGTAGCACAAAGCCCATGCATGTTGGATGCAATTTCTGCAAAACATATGAGCAATTTATTTTAATATTTCAGCATATAAGGGTCAGAGCATTTTTGTTTTTAGAAAAACACCATGATTTCCCTGCAGTCATTAATATGATATATCTATTATGGAATCATATATAGTTCATATTCCAAAAAATTGTTAAGTTCCTTTCTGAAAACAATAATGAAGAACCGTTTGACTTAAAAGATTTCACCGTTGAAAAAAAAGTAATTTTTTCGCTATATTGCTAACGGCCTTGTAAATATGTTATAAAATTTTTATATTATTATTTAGTTAAATATTTTAAAATCGCGGGTATACAATTTGAAAGTAACCAATTTAGCATAAAAAACAAAGTGTGAATTTAGTTAATTTTTTAATTTTTTTATCTCTCTTTCTTAGAAATATGAAATTATTTTCTTCATTTACGTCATCAAAATATCCACTCATCAATAAATTAGACAAATGAAATTTTAAAAAAAATCTTTGTTCTCATATAAACATTTTTGTATTTGATTTTTCACCAAAATTTTTGCCAAGATTTGACATTTAAAATATGCCAAATAATCGACAGTTGTAAAATTTGATCAGTCTTAAAAATAAACTACTGATATTCAAACTTGTATAAAGTTCAAATATGTTGAAAACTAAGTTTATTTAGATAAACTGAAGTTTAATTCGTTGCTAGAACATAGTAAACGTACAACATGGAATAGTTAAATATAAAATTTGACTTTAAAAATTTGAAATAGAAGTATTAGATAAAAATTAATAGAGCTTGGATCGAGTTTGATTTTGCTGACTGTGCAAATTAAACAGCCGTTCCGTAATATTGACTAACGAATCTGTTTCAAATTGGATTCCATAATGATGGGAATACCAACGTGTAAATTCCCGTATGTCATTAATCTTCCGTATCCTCATCTCTCAGGTAGGAACAATTTTTTCTAAAGTTTCGTACCTTTCTTTAACCATTTTTTAGAAAAAAATCTTATTTATGTTGAAGTCATAATCGATAAATTTTAAAATATAAATGATTTTTAATGACAAAGTTAATTTATAATATGCTGTACTAACTTTAAGAAACGTTATTTGAATTTAATTTGAATGGAAAATTTATTTTCAAACCCTCCCAAAAAGCATTTCACATCAATTAATTTAGATTTTAAAGTAATTATCGAAACATTACAGAAATCAATGTAATAAAAAGAGAAGAATAGCTGAAAATATGTGTTTAATTGTTGGAAATCAGAATTTTACTCCCAAATAAGATTTTTTTTTTATTTTCCAGTTTAATTCTATATTTATAAATATCTCGACATATTTAATTAGTTTTGAAAGGTTTGAAAAAAAAATAAGAAATATTTAATCCATTTTTTGCAAAAAAATTTCTTTAAACAACCCTCATTCATCAATTTCGTTTTAAAAGAAATTGAGAAAATATATTTAAGTAAGATGTCAATTAAATGAATTTAAAACTGAAATTTCAAATTTCAAAACAATTTCTTGCGAGAAATTTTCCGAAGGTGTGAAAAAAATCTTAATATCAGTATATAAAATTGTAATTTTGTCAACAAGAACTAAATATGAAATGCATATTACTATAACAAAAAATTTGATTTGAATTACGATAAAAAGAATTGGCACCCAGAGGCCAGGTACTTTTCACCGTTAAATCCCACTTTACTGAAAAAAATGTTCAGAACAAAAAAATTGTTTTTTTCAGTAATATTTATTCTAAAATCTCAGAATCGGTATACTGCTAAAATTACGGTATAAAATTTCTACACTTAAAATAAATTATACGCGTACTGTATTCTTAAAGTAACGTAATTTGATCCGGAATTCCTTTAACGTGTAAACTTTAAAATTGCAATTTTCTACAGAAATATCTGATTAGAAACCATTATTTTACTAATTGGTGTACCCTTATATGATTGAAATACCTAAAAATCATTAAAAATCCAATCTGTTTAATTATTTCTGAATGCCATTTGTCTCTCTAAGAAAAATTTGCCTCTTGCAGAAACAATTATTCATAATTATATTGACCTAACATAAACAGTTAAACTAATGTAAAAATGCAAAAAAAAACTTTATTGAAAGTTTATGTTTCACATGATTTGTATTAGTTTCCATACATTACTTTCAGGTTTAAAATTCATTTAACTATTAGAACGCAATATATTAATGTCAAAAATTCTGACTCTAATATAGATCTAATATGGATCAAATTACTTTTGGCGTGACTCAGGGATCAGTGCTTGGACTACTATTTTTCATAATATAAAACGACTTTTGCAATCAAACATTACGTGACAATATCATTATTTATGCGGATTACAAGGTTATTCTTTTATCCTATGATGATTTTGCAAGAATGGGAAAATTCAGAAATCAAGATTTCTTCTAGATTAGAAAATGATTAATCGGCAATAATCTTGCAGTTATATTTATTCACTTTCAGCTAGTTAGCCTTTCAAATAATAATATTTCTACTATTTTTCATTGAAATAGGTGCTCCGGCAAGGCGCGTGATTGCATTCTTTTAAAATTAGTTTTGTCTATAAAAAATCAGTTGACCATAACTTAAAAAGGAAATCAACCATAAGTTATTTGCTGAATAATTAAGATTCAATTTAATTAAGTATTATCATTTATAGAAAATTAAAAGACAGAATTTTTTTTAAAAAGTAAATTTACATTATTCATGGGTATGAACTCAGTACTTATTTATGGAATCAAAATATAATGTGGGGATTGTTACAATAATACTCTAATATAATTGTCATTATTTAGTTTAATTCTTTTCTCTTATTCATGAAACAAAAGTCATGAGCATCTCAACAACTAATAATGTATCGATTCTATTTGCTCATAAAAAAGTTCTGCATAAAACTTATTATATTTATGACCTAAATTGCTCAATAAATTACTAATAAAACCTCCATTTTAAATTTAAAAAAAACTATTAAAGCATTTATTTTTCCAATTGATGACATACTGATTATTTTTTTAGCTCATTATAATTTTTTTTTGAACTCAACAGCTTATCACTGCTACTTTTTTTTATCGTCAATATTAATTATTTAATTTGTTTTGTGCTTAATGTTTGAGCATACATTTTTGAATACTTACTTTATGGATATATTTTTTTCCGTTCAAATCTAGATTTTTCATGTTTTTATTTACGTTACATTATGCAAATATGTTCTGAATGTTGCGAACAAATTGTTCTTATTATTATTATTGCTATTAATATAGGAAGCATTTATTATTTTGAGATCATTATAAATCAAAATAAATGAGAAATAAATTATCTAACGTCAATTATCCTGAATGTATGTGAACTTACTACTGCAACGTATGTGGACTTTTCTAATTAGCCTAACTCACCGCAAAATAACTGCCGCTGATTACAAAAAACTTGATCATTCAATTAGCCAATGACATATGTACAGCATGTAATTCCTACTTAATTTTAAATTTTTTTAGAGCTACTCATTTTGTTAACTGCTGTGAATGGCATCAGTAAAATTTAAAAATCCATAAGGGCAGCATTTGGCAAATGAGGTACTTGTAGTTTATGCCATTTTCCTATTCTTATCAGTGTTTCAGAAAATTCATCTGTGCAAAATAACGCTTTTCAAATAAATTTAATAAATTCATTTTTATAAAAAAGACAATTAAAAAAAATTACTATCGTTGAACTTATCGCACATAAAGGAAAAAAAAATCTGGTAAAATTATGGCAATTTATGGTAATGACAATTCTTTTTTAAAAAAATATAATCCTGGTATTAAAAACTAATGAATCAGGGATTTAAAGCATTTATTAGGTAATTTTTTGTTTATATGAAAACAATTTCTAGTAAACTCAGGTTTTCGGAATTATAGTTCCTATTATATTCCAAACATATATCATATATTACCAAAAATGTCCAAATTTTCCAGCATTTAGCAAAATTTTATTACATATTGTAAAAACATATTTTTTTGTTAATTTTACCAAAATTATTACCAAAGCGTTTCAGTAAATATATCTTCAGAGCCAGAAACACGATAAATTTTACCATATTCTGGTAGCTTTAATCATGATTTATTTCCTAGTGTAAGAATAAGTTATACGTAAGTTTTGTAACCAAAGATTTATTAAATCATTCTCTTTTTTGTTAAAAAAAGAATGTTTGAGAACACTAAATCTGCATTGTAGAAATTTCGTTAATTTATTCGTTTATAAAAACAAAAGACAAATTTCGGGAATAATTTAGGATGGTTATGAGTTTGTTATGATCTATGTATTTACTAATTTCAATTAAAAAAGGCAAAATAGAGCACTTGCCTTCCAATATGGTGAAGCGGTTTCTATTCCCTGTGATAGCTGGTCGATACAATTTTCGCATTCAGCTCGCATTGACCACAGCGCTGTTATAGAATATCCATAGTGATGGATATATAATAATTCAGAGTCAACTTTGTCGTCAGGATAACCGTGGGAGGGTTCATGTTTTTCCTCTCCATTTAATGCAAGTTCGAGTTAGTTCCATTAGAAAGACCTTCACAAACGCAAAATTTATCCCAAAACTCGATGCAGGAGTCTGGATTGTGTTCTAAATTACTAGACTACAAAGTTGAACATTGGTAGTCGTAAATTCAATAGTCAGTTGGCTGTTCAACAATGGTTATAAAATAAAATAAAAGAGGAATAACATGAAAATTACTTAACTTAGAGGGAGCCTTATGGTTCATTTTATTGATCTATAATTTCAGTATGTAATTATCCACTCTGGGAAAATAAAATATGAATTAGAAATTACAATATGCATTCATATCTGTGTGAAAACAATTATACCCATTGCATTATAATAGTTTATGTACTAATTATCATAGAAAAAAATAATATCATGTTTTATAAAATTTTATCACAAAAAGAGTAATAAAAAGCTTCAAGTAGTTAAGTAACAAATCTCCAAGGTCTAATACTAAAAACTGTTGAATTTCCAATAAGAAATTTAACATTTTGTGGCACCGTATTAATGAATTTATTTTTGATCCCCATGTTCGCTGAAGAAAGGTGCATCCTCCTAGATTAAACCTCAAAGCGATGATTGATTATACAGTTTTGATTAATCCAGAAAAAAAGATGATGATCAATTAAAGAAATATTATATGTCCGAATTAATTCTGTAATTAAAAAGAATACAATATTGTGAATGAAACAAAAACACATAATTTTAAGTTCGAACGTATTTAAAAATTAAATTAAACGAGTTTATTTCAAAATAACTTTCAATTTATTCCAGTGGAAAAGCAGTTTCACGTGTCACTCCGATTTGAAGGCTTTGTGTGTACTAATATTACATTAAAATTACACTACATGCTTCTCAAGCAGCTGCTTATATTTTGTTACTTAATGATTGTTTATTTTAAGTCAGAATATATAAGGAAAAAATCATGCAATTTATACTTCCTATATTCTAAATTGCGATAGAATTCCAACTCCTTTGCATCTTCGTCTGTTAGGTAACAAGATTTTGTTTTGTTCAAACCACTAAATTTTTTCATAGTGCATGGCACAAAATTTCCTTCTCAGATCATGTTCTAATTAATATGAATTATGTCTAATCAGTAAATATCTGGGTAACTTGTATCTAAAAAAAGAAGTCAAATATGTTATTAAATCATATTTTTTGTTAATAGTTTTAAGAACTACTTAACATTACTTTACGTTTTGTAATGATTAAATAATAAAAATTATTAATAGGTTTTGTTTAATGTCAATATATTTTTTTACTATTCGAGCTGTTTCATTGGATTTTAAACATTGCTAAAGACGCCTTTACAAGATTCTGAGTTTCTCAAAATTATTGAAATTTCTTGTGTTGAAAAATTCTCAGATAATTTTTTTTATTATCAATGGCAAGGCAAAAAGTACAAATATTTAAAAAACTATTTCATTAATGCTTTTAAAAACTACGTAACATTAATTCACGTTTTGTAATTGATTAAATAACAAAAATTATTAAAAAACATTGTTTAATGTCAATAATTTTTAATTATTTAAGCTATTTCATTAGAAGTTAAATAATTCTGTAAACGCTGTTTTACAAGCTTCTGAATTTCTTAGAATTATTGAAAATCTTGAAGATTGAAAAATCTCAGTAAAAACTTTTTTGTTATTTCCAATGACATGTCAAAAAGTACAAATATTTAAAAAAATATTTTATTAATATTTGTCAATATATTTTAAAAACTACTTAGCATTACTTCATGTTTTGAAATGATTAAATAACAAAAACTATAAAGTAATAAGTAGTTAAACAATGCTTTAAACTCCCTTTATAAGCTTCTCAGTTTCTTAGAATTATGATTTGGAAGTTGATAAATCTCAGTTAAAAGTTTTTTTTTTTAGTTTTAATGAAAGGCAAGACATACAAATATTTAAAAAAGATAAAAATATATAAGTATGTACATGATTCCTGGCAAGAAAAGTGTTTGTTGAGCACTGTAGATCATTATGACGACAGAGCGTTGCCTAGGGTGCACCATGTGGAAGAGCGATCCACGTTGCACCCAGTTAAAAGCCCTTTTTATTAAAAAATAATATTGGTAGACATTCTAAAAGGTTATTAAAAAACATTTTAATATTTTTTTTAGATTTTTTTTTCAAATCATATATTTAAAAAAAAAAAACTACCACTGGCATTTTTTTTTAAAAAAGCTAATTTTATCTTTGTGTGTTATTTATAGAATTTTAAAAACAAATTTTAAAAAAAATTGCGCAGTCATTATCAGCATTTTTGTAACAGTTTATAAAAGTAGGAAAGGTAAGGAGAGAACACGAAGAACTAAATTTCGCATTGTCGAAAATTTTTCATTAAAGATATATATTTAAAATTTACATTTTTCATTTTTTCATAGATATCAGATTGAGTAATTTTAGTACTAAGAACTCTAGTAAGAAATGCCAATAGGTTACCGAACATTGCAAATAAAATCTTTTTTCCAGAAAACTTTAAGTAATGGTCATAGAACGTCGTTGTTCAAAAAATACAACTTATATCAACCAGAATTTCAAATATCAAAGATGTAGTAGGAATATTTAATTTATATTCTATTTGTGATATGTATGCCAACATGAAGTTTTTATTGCACATTTGTGAATCAAGTTAGTTACATGCATAATGTCGGAAGTAACGAAAAAGATTTACTCTTATTTTCGAACCAAACATACAAAATATATTATACATGAGCTTGATGAAGCAGATGGCTGGGTGATGTGTCTTGCTTTGCCAAATGGCATCTTGTAGTTATTTAATCTGAAATTTTGAGAATAGCATCCATGAGTTCGAAATGATTAAATTTGTGGATGCAATTTTAAAAATACATTAAAATATTACTTACTATGTGATATTTAACTTGTAACTTCGGGGAGTAATATTTATCAGCAGAATTTTGCTTTGTTCCAAAAAAAAAAAATGAATTCTGTGACCAAAATACAAACTAGGTTTGCTTCCATTACAGAAAAATCATAGGTACTACTTGAACAAGGTAATGTGAGAGGTTGGTCGACGAAAACGAAGAAAACAATTAGTTTCTGTTACTAAAAACAATATTTTCTAAATTCTTTGATTTTTATGCGAATTCTTACAATTTTTGAGGTAAACTCAATAGCACAAATGTTTCTTTAAATCATTAACAATCATTTTAAAAGCAAATTTTTAAATCGCAGAAGATAAAAACTCACCTATTTAACGCATTTTACAAGATTTATGTAAAAAAAGTCTTAAAAAAATACAATGAGATTTCTGAAAAGTTGAGACTGTTTTTCTCTGATATTTGTTTGTAAGCCATTGTATTAAGTAATAATGCATTACGTTTTTAAATATTAATTTAATTTTATATTTTAGAGCTTACTGAAACGAAGAAATGTATAGAGTTATTATAATGGCGTTGTTTTTGAACAAAGCGATGGCGATTGTTCATCCTGTTTGTGATTTTGCATGCACTTCTGAAATAATGGATTCATGTCCTGTTTTGGATTGCGGACCAAACGAATCGCCGCAGCGTAATCCTAACCAGTGCGGCTGCTGCAATGAATGCTTGCCCAATAAACGTAATGTAACTTTCTGTAAAATATCTTTCCATATATTACTGAAAAAATTACGGTATTTCAGAAGTTTTGTTTCTTAATATGTTCCAGTAAGAAGAATTTTTTGGTAAAACCACCCTAATAAGTGCCGATATCGTACTTAATAAAATGCCAATTTTCGAAATTTACTTTCGAAACTACTGTTGTTGATTGCGAGATCAACAATAACGATGTTATTTTGTCCGCGCCAGCCCTTATTGACGAGCTCATCTCAGATTAAACAAACAGGAGAATCAGATCAAGCGAACTCCATGATTTAACATCAATCTATATCTACTGCTGTTTAAAAATTAGAGCTAATCGAAGTATTGTGACTGATATCATTTCACACCCAATCCAAGTAAAGTAACTGTACCACCACTTCTTGTCACTAAATATCGTACTATGTAACTTTGATAGGTATTTGATGCAGCCATTTTACAGACTTCATATTCACTTAAGATTATCTTCAGGGAGAACAAAATTCTAGCAAAATTGCCCTACTGTATATTAAACAATTTTGGTTAAGGAAATAAAAATGTGATATTATTGAACCATTCATTTGGTTATTTATCCATTCATATGGTAATAGCGGTATACCGGAAATTAATTTTTTTTTTTAAATTACATTTCTTATTACCACCCAAGTAGCAACTAATATGAGATAACATCGGAAAATCGGTAAAATCTAACCTTATCTTGCACAACTTCTAATATTAGAAAGATACAAAAGGTCGCTGTTTGCTCAGCATTTTATAATATTAGATTCTATGCAAACTTATATTATCTAACGTTCGCCATAATATTATTTTGCATTAGTTTTGATGCTATATAATATTACATTTTGTATTTTCTGATATTATCTTGCGTTACTTTTTATTTTCAGAGTAAGCAAGAGGAGGATTTGGATGGTAGTAGACTAATTCGGCGATATAATTTTACTTAATTTTCTGTATTGCTGTGAAGCAGTAAAACATAGAAAAATAATTTTATAATGTCATTCCATTCATTATTTGCTTTGCAATACAGAAATACTAAATAAAATTATTTTAGCGAACTCTGCTACCATCCATTTTCCTGCCTCTTACTCCAAAGTATATCTCATGTTCAGCTGATTTTTTTGAATATTTCAAATTTATATAAGAAATAATACTATTATCACAACTTTTATTGATATGTTTTTCCTTCTTCATACAATGGGTATTCTGGCAAATTTTATATCATTAATGATTTTCAAGTCTTTAATTTTAAAATGAACTCTTAATTTTTTGAAAAAAAAGAGCTTATTTTATTAAAATCTCAATTGAATTTGTTAGTTTGCAAAATATATGTTCTTTTTAATTGTGTAACTTAAGCCATTTGTAATTTTACAATTATCACTCCCTACTTATATTCTGAAATTGTAAATTAAGAAAACCACAGTACATAATTGCTGAGTTAAATTTACGTTTGAATTAAGTTGAAAATTTACCTTAATTTTTTTTCTACTACTATATAACTAAGTTTTTTCACTTCTTTTTTCACTGAAATTAAATGGAAAAATACTTACGTAATTTTATCCTTTTAGAATCTGAAATTTTACTTACAAAACACTCGAAACAAGAGCCAATGGCACCTGTAGAAATATTTTTATGGAGTGAAACAAAAAAAAAAGCCTTTAGGAATTTTATTTAAAAAAATTTGCCAATAATTTTTGTAATGCAAAAATAATTTTACATTGGTACATCAGAAATTTTTAACGATTCAATAATTAGTTAAAGGTGCTATGTAAAAGTAGTAAATATTTCATTTTATCAGAATTAAATTTGCGCAAGCATTTAATTGCATATACAAGAATGAGACAAAAAAAAGAATCTTTTGTATTAATGATCTTAGTTTGTTTAATTTGCTAAACCTTGATATCACAAAATGTTTCTTTAAACTCAATCAATTATTGCTCGTATTTTACTAATAAGAGTTTATGCATCACGAACATAGTAAAAACAAACATGGCATTATAGGTAAACGAGACTTTTTAAAAAGAGAAGATGCAATCGCACATGCTTTCACAAAGGATATACAAGACCTTTCAGATGAAAGTTATAGCTATATTCCATTGTAAAATGATTAGGATTTTTTATCATAATGTAAACGTTATTCAGCTTTAAGTCGAAATAACTTTTTAAGATTATAATTATTTTACAATTATATTATTTTAAACATGATAAAAAAAAGCATAAACTCTTTGTCTCAAATTTCAAATGAATAATCAAGTTAAAAGTTCCAAAATTAAAATAATAAACACAATGTCGATAATAAAAATCCTCACGAGTTTCAGCTATACTTTAAAATCAGCGTTAAAAGAAAATTGTTTCCGATATCATACCGAAAGATTAAAAATAACCAACTTTTAAATATATTCAACTGTTTTCATGATACTTAAGCACTATCTACTAAAAAGACTTTTTAACGTCATACTTTATAAAATTTTATCAATGCAAATACTATACCTGACAAATCAATTTTTTTTAAAAATGTTAAAGATTTATCACAAAGTTGTAAAAGAAATTACACACTACAGTAATTAAGAAGAATAATCCTAACATAGCTATTTCGCAGCATAATAATTTTATTTAAAAGCAAAACATACTGTAAAATAAATTTCATCCAATTGTAAATGCAATACATTACCTTCATTGTTATTAAATAAAAGAATTTTTTTCAGAACTTTAGAACTGTTTGATACAGTTTGAGTTTACCCTTCCGATCGTAAGTGTTCATTTACTTAAAAATATATTTCCAAGCAGTCATTAAATGCTTTTGTGAAAAAATTCAACAACAGTTAATAATGTATGCAATGCATCACACGAAACAGGGTTTCCCTCCTTCTTCAAACTTCAACATGACAACATCTTTCTTAGACAGGGGGACTTTCTGCCATGGCAGATTTAAATTGGTCCTTGCTGAATACCCACACTGGTTGCTTCATTTGCTTTAAGGATTAAACCTAGAACTCATCAAAGTGTGCAATTTCCATTTACACAGTAACCAGCAGCCTTTCTAAAAATCTATTTGAAACTTAAATTATTTAATTTGAAAATATTTTCGAAAATTGTAATATCCGATACAATGAAATTCAATGGGTAAATTCCAGTATTCGATACCTACAACAAAAACTCTCGCAAGCGCAACACAAGAAGCCAAAAAAAAAGGAGGAGGAGATTAACTAAAAGTTTAGCTCATAAACATAAATTGTAAGTGTTAAATAAACAACTACTTACATTCTTCCATTGCTTACTTTAAAAATCATTTAATGTCAAAGTACGTCAACGTAAAAGATACTCTGGGAATTCAGAATCCATCAATTTGTGATTGAAAAAAACATGTAGAAGGAGAATTCTTCAATTCATAGCATATAGTTTGCCCCCCTCCCCAAAATAAAATATATACACTCAAGAGCCAAAACATTATGACCACCTCTTAATAACGAGTTGGCCCACCTTAAGCCCACAACACAGCTGTAACTCGCCTTGGCATGGATGCCACAAGTCCTTGGTAGATGGCCGAGGACAGATTGTATCAGATGTTTAAGCAACGGGCACGCAAATCCGAGATATTGCGACTTACTGGTCTTTGAACTCAGAGCTGCCGTTCCATGACATCCCAAATGTGTTCTATCAGATTAAGATCGGGTGAGTTAGGCGGCCAGGACATTAACTGGAATTCAGCATTATGCTCTTGGAACCACTCCAACACAATTTGAGCCTTGTGACACGGGGCGTTGTCCTGTTGGAAANATGTGTTCTATCAGATTAAGATCGGGTGAGTTAGGCGGCCAGGACATTAACTGGAATTCAGCATTATGTTCCTGGAACCACTCCAACACAATTTGAGCCTTGTGACACGGGGCGTTGTCCTGTTAGAAAATCCCATTTCCAGCTGGAAAAACAGAGATCATGTAAGTGTGCAACTGGTCCGAAAAGATGTTCAGATACCGTGTAGCATTCATGGTCTGCTCTACCACAAACACGGGTCCCAGAGACGCTCAAGAGAACGTCCCCCAAAGTACCCCCACCACAGGCCTGCGTATGATCTACTGTACATTGAGGGAGAAACTGTTCGCCTGGAAGACGGCGTATCCTGACACGGCCATTGGCGTGATGAATGACAAATTGTTGCAGAAAAATTTTGTCACAGACGAATAACTAAGCAAACATTGTTTTACAAGCGTATTCTGAACTAATTGCAGTACTTATTATTTATAGTTCGACAATTTAACAGAGAAGTCAATTAAACGCGAACTACTCATAGTCAATAATGATCACAATTCATAATATTTACCTACTTTATTAGATATATAATCATTAAATTAATTCTAAAAAGTTTTAATTAAGCAGTCAAGAATATTAAGTACACTAATCGTTTCCACAACATCATCCTCTCTAACACATCATGCTTTATATTAATTTTCTATCTGACTTTTAACTGAAGGAAAAACACTACCTACGTTAATACTTTAATGCTTCATGTAACTATCATTGAAATTTATAAAGTTTACTAAAACTTACTAAATTATAAATACCTTAAGTCGCTTAAGTAGCACGTCAAACAAATTCCAGTATGTCAAACAATATGGCGATGTAAACAATCATGAAGAAGTTACAACCCAATAGTTGATAAAGTTTTTCGAGTTGCATCGTTCGCGAACTGCCACTATTATTTTGCACTTTCTGGCAAAAAATTGCATTTCCTAAAAATAATATTTTAAGTAATATTTAATTTATTATTTTTCCTCATAAATAAATGTTCATTTCTTAATAGTATATTATAAACTTTCACAAAAAAGTGGCACTGAATCGAAAATAATGAAATAAATGATAATTTGAAAAGTTCGAATATTAGATTGAACACTCTTTAATTTTATATAATATTAGCTCTAATATTAGAAGCTAGGATTCAGAAGTCAAGCGTTTTCTAGCAGAACAGCATTATATTGCTTCTTTCTAATGTTAGGTAATATCATTTTGCTACCTGGGAACACATAAAGTAAAAATGCAAAACTTAAAAAAAGGTTTATCATAATAAATGCTTTTTATGCCATGCCCCAAGGAATCATGACAAAAGTATCCATTTTTATTACATTTAGTAAATTTTACCACAGATTATAAGACCAAATCTAATAGTTAATTTTACTAAAATCATTAAAAAAGCGCTTTGACGAAAAATAACAAAGCTTTTTTGTGTTCCCATAGAGCCAGAATTACGGTATATTTTACCATTTTCTGGCCGTTTTGACCATATTTTTTTTCTTAGTGTAGGGAATTGATTCGTTATCAGCAGAGCACTCCTTCTATTTTTCTTTATAACAGTAAATGCTTACGTTGTTATGGCTACTGTATATCTGGAACTATTACACATATCCGCTTTTCATTTAAGCAATCCTCATAAATAAGTGTAAGAAGATTATATATTTAAAAATTTTTTGAACATAGAAAACAAAATATAAAATTGAAGAGGTAGGCAATAAATAATCTAGGTTTTTTCTGCAAAATGCTCCGAAAGGATTAATACAAGCCCTATATAGGAATCTGTCTGATATCAGCTTGGTAACTTAATTTTTTATAAAATTTAACGTTTATTAGCTTAAGATGAAAATAAGTTAAAAAAATAATAGGTCTAAAAGACTTATTTTCTGCAAAAATATAAATTATTAAATTATTAATCGTGATTGACGTGATGTGTGTAAACCAGTCAAATATAATGACTCTCATCATTACCTTACTTATCTATGATGAAATTGATAAGTTTAGTTACATTTTAAAATATATAGACTTTTTTTCTTAGTATCATAGTGTTTAAAGGTTAATTATTCTTATTTGCACTAATTAATTTTTTTTTCACTTTTTTATAAACTAATGTATTGATACCCCTTTCTTTTAAATAAATCTTCATCAAATGCGTCAATTGCAGAATCAGATGATTGCAATATTGACTGTTCAAAGAGACACAGTTGTCCACGGATACCAGCAAAATGTCCAGATGGTGAGGAATTGGTGACACCCAAATGTAGTTGTTGTCCAAGTTGCCAGAAAATTAAAGGTAAATTTTGTTATATATAGGATAATTCTCTAATATCTAAATATTGTTCATCATATGTGATATTAGTTGCGAAAATATTGGGTGACACATTTACCACTCCGTGGTCTGTAGATGGCTACTGGATTACGTCTATCACTACTCTGATTTTTTATTATATTTTAAATAAAGGCACTTAAATTTCGTTCTACGCCTAAGAAGATGCCGGTAGTGTAGCTCATTATTTCCTGGAGGGCATCTGTGAACCAAAGACAAGGAAGTGAACAACATTACACACTCCACACTGCCTCAGATGCCCATTCATAGGATGCACATTCACACATCACGCTCAGAGAAGAATCCATGACGTAAGTGGGATTCAAACACGCAGCCCTTGCCTTCGCAGTTAGGCACACTAACCACTCGACCACCTGGCCAGCTTCTTTGAAATGAAAAACACTAATTGGATAATCAGAAAATAATTGAAAATTGATTTAAAATGTGTAACTAAACTGAAAATAAGAAAAAATATAATGGAAAATATAGAACAATGGCTTTTAATCAACAAATATAAATAATTACATGATGGTTAGGTTACACAATGCGTACGATTGTCCCACAGATGTCCAAGTAAGTATAATAGAAGAAAGTTTTGCAACAGAGCCATAGAGTTCCGTTAAAAGGCATCAGTGGTTTCCAACTTAAAATTGTCTTTATCATTTATAATGTCAGTAATTATATTTACACTCAATCAGTAGTTTATTGAATGCTACTTTTTATTTTTATAAAACTATTTAAAAAAAGAAAACTCAATGATCCTCGAAACAGAAATAGTAATATTTAAAATCCATATAAATGTATCTTTTTATCAACGATATATTGAATGGGCTAAAATGAAGGATATGGATTTATAAAAACTTTGATTATTATTTCTTACTGAACTTTTCCATTCATAATAAAAAATAACGAAATTTAGCAATGAAAAATTTTCTTCCTTGATAACCATCTTCATCTCTCATTACATTTTCTTTCCATTTTTACTGAAGCGAAAACCATAGCTCAACATATTTTATTCATTTTCAGTTTATATAACAAACATGAATGTAGAACTAGACTACGAGTACTTCAGAACTAGGCAACAAATGAACTACGACAACGTCAGAACTAGAATAAGACTTCTAAAAGTGCAATTAAACAAATCTTACAAAAAATATTTTTAATAAAACTTTGAAAAAAAACTAATTGCAAAAAATGCCCTTAAAAGTGCGAAAAATGCCCTTAAAAATGCGAAAATTGCGCTAAAAATGCTTTATGACATGACTTAAATTAAAGTAAAAATATTGAACTAAAACAATGTTTTACTCTTTAAAATTATTATGAGTCGTTTCAAAAATATAAAGCAATGCAATACTTGTTCTACGTTCATTAAAGTTTGAAAAATATGTTTTATATCCTAAAATAACAAAAAAAAGGGAAATATATTGACTCCAAAACATTTTCATTTTGTATAGGAACTTTAATGAATATAACAGCTTCCATCTCATAATATTACCAAATATCAGAATTATATTGGATTATTAAATTTTTTTTGATATTTTGAAATGTAAACGAGCGTCTCTTGTCTGAAAGTAAGTTTTTATACCTGGAGAAGCTTCTTTCAACGTTTACTGATGTTATAGGTGCGTACTTGAAAAAGACAGTCTCACTGACAATTCTTCTTCAATTTGAAAAGATGTTGCTTCACCTGTTAATATCCTAGAGATTTTCTTCGTTGTTTGGAAGTCAGTGCCATAATAAAAAATGATAAAAAAATAATAAAAATTAGAAAAAATTAACAAAAAATTTCAAAAAATCTTTAAAATGCAAAATACGCCAAAAAATTTAAAGAAAAATGCCCTATAAATCAAAAAAAAATGGTCTAAAGGACAAAAAATGTCCAAAAATGCAAAAAAATGCAAATGTCATCAAAATCCGGGCCTTAGTTATAAGTGATATAGCGAAGACTAATAACTGTTTAGTTATTAGTCTTTCTTTACATAATATTTCACTTATATTGAGTCCGTTCCACCAAAAAAACTATATGATGTATGCTATTAAAGGTCGGCCATTTAATAATGGTAATCCTCTATTCTAGGCTATATTTTTTTATCTCACATAACTCAATTTTAATTAGTAATATAGCGAAAACTAATAATTAGTCTTTCGATAATTAATATATCACCTCTAATGAGTCAGTTTCTCCAAAAAAAAGGTCGGCTATTTAATAATGGGAATCCTCTCTTCTATGTCTATCTATAATGTATATTGAATCTAATCTATTTTTCTCGTACTCAACTGAATCAATTTTGAAAATTATTTATTTGAGTTTTTGATTCTTTTAAAACAAATAGAAACGTTTTGTTAATTCTATTTCTTTTACTTTGGAAATTAATGCAAAAAAAGCTATATATGCTTTTTGTTAAAAATCATTCCTCAACGTAAACAGTAATTAAAAATAAAAATGTAAATATGAGGGTAAATTTTCAAAAAAAAAGTAAGGTTTATATAAAGTTCTGTTTTGAAACATAAACAATGACTAACTAATTTTAAAAAAAGCAGTTGTAAGTCTTGAGTTATAATGTACAACATAAGAAGGAAAAAACAATATATCTTATTTCTTGAATACAATCAATTGTTTCTCAAAAATTCTATACCATTTTAAGTTTAAGAATGAAAATCCGACTTTTCTTAAATTGTTTAGGGAGAAAAAGTATACAGTCCACAATTATAGTTACTTTGAACGCAATCCATGATTGCAATCCTTAACAGATTTTTTTGCTTCTTTATTAGCTGTCCTTCTTAAAAGAATCGAACACTTTTTGGAACTCTTTCTAAAAGAGAGAAATTTGAGCACAGGAATAATTATTCTACTCGCGTCTGGTTATTCCCAAAGAGTATTGATGACGACAGGGATTTATAATATATTTATAGCTGTAATATTTATATTATTACATAACTACAGTCGAATAATAATTTTTTTTTATAAATTACTGATTGCAAATAAAAAAATTGCATTATTTCATAGAAAGTAAAAATGCTAACTAAGTAAAAAATTTTGTGAAAATTAATAATACCCATGCATATTTTCATTCTTATAACAATCACAGACAAACCTCCACCATGCTCCCAACCGAATATTTCTAGAAAAAACATTTATTCTGTTCTAATAAGAAATTATTCTGCTCTAATAAGTAGAGAAACCCATAAAATTTAAATGTGAATGTAATGAAAAATTTGGTTCTGTTGAAAGTAATTTTGTTCAGTTTTTAATATCAAATTGAGATTATCACGACGATTAATTAAAATTCAAGTTTTTAATTATTATTATACAATTAATAAGGAAATTAAAAAGTGTAATTCTGAAGTGTAATTTTGCTCTTAAGTTTCTCGAACATCTCTCTCCAAAGATAATAAAAAATGTCATAGTCTGTTTCTGTTTTATACCTTACTAAGCTATGATGAAATTGATACGTTTAGTTACATTTAAAAATATACATTTTTTTTTCTGTATTATAATGTTTAGTAACTATTATTCATATTCACTCTAATTCAAACAATTTTCATGTTTTATGTTTCTTTTAACTAATCCTAATCAAATGTGTTCAACTACAAAACCAGGTTGTCAAACTGATTGTTCAGGAAGATACAATTGTCCCCGCATACCAGCAAAATGTCCACATGGTGAGAAATTGGTAACACCAAAATGTAGCTGTTGTCCAAAGTGTGAGAAAGTTGAAGGTATTTTTTGTTGTAATTAAAAGATAATTATCTAATGTCTGAAATGCGTTCATTATATGTGACGGCGTGAAGATATTATTTGATACAATTACCACTCCGTGGTATGTAAGCCTAACGCTCCCATGAAACGAAAACCACTTATTGGGTAGCCAGAATTTCATTTGGAATTGCTAGATAATTTGAATTGAGTACAATAAGTGTAAGTGTAAGAGATATGTTAAAACTTTAATCAATGGAAAAAATTGAAAATCTAGACTAGCAGACTTTACTGAAAAAATATAAATAGAGTTATATAATAGTTTTGAGGTCTACAACTATTTTGAGGTCATGGTGTATTGCATCATTTCTTACGAACCATCTGACTTTTATTATTCTTCTTAATATTTTATTCTGGCAGACTATTAATTTATTTAGCAGAGTTTGTGTTATATTTGTCAAGACTGGTGAAGCAAACGCAAGAATGAGGCAGATCATTCATAAATAGAGCAATCTTTTGAGATTTAGTGCCATGTTGGATTGATGAAGTAGTACATGGAGTTTACTTCATGCTGCTTGTACTTCACTGGTTAAGCTTTTGATGTGATCATATCAGTTGAAAAGCAAATCTCCAACAACGCCCAGTTGTTTTGACATCCATGGAGTATTAAGTTCCGAAGTTTGTTGACAAATAAGACGAATGCGATCAATAGTGCATATCGTACACCTTTAAATTCTGATCACTTTCATTTGATTATGGCATAAATGAATATTGCCCATTTTAAATATTAAAATGATATTTCAGTCCATACACTATTGAAAAGCGTATAAATAAAATTATTTTATTGTTCTCGATGGTGAAAAACTAGCACTTATCTGAAATTAAGCTGTTTAAATTCCTTGAAGTTCCATCACGCCAAATTCAATGGAGTTAAGCATTACATAAGAAAAGACTGAATAAAAAGGAAAGAATCAAGTTCTGCTATAACGTCAAAGGAGAAGATCAAGACTTTCTGTAGAGTTTTTTTATGTTAGATTTTGAATATTTATCATTTTAATAGGAAACTTAAAATATTATGAGTCTTATGCTCGTGTAAAGCATATTTAATGCAGTAAACAAATCTATAAAGCAACATGTATTCAAACAGATAAAATTAAGACACTTTACTTTTCTTATAATTAAGGTAAACAAAGTGCTTGTATAGTTTATCTAAAGAAAGAACTCCCCTCACCTCGAAATCTAAGGCTGTCTGCTGCTATGGAAACAAGAAACTGAGCGTTTCAAAGAGGGGGGTTTCTTCCTCATCTGATTCCCTTTCTCTCTTCGACTCGAGCCAGGACCCTTATTAAAAATGCTAAACAACCCTATTTAAAATAATTTAACTTTGCAATTATCGAGACTCTTATACTTCGTAATTATCCGCATCAACTCCAGACGGATAGATAGGGGAGTTCTATACGTAGACAAACTATATAAACTAAATACTATAGTAAGTATTCTTTGCATTTCAGACTCAGACACGTGCGAAGATTCTGATTCAGATGAAGATTAATAATATGTACCTGGATATTCATATGAAGTAAGATGTGCTTTAGAATTTAAATTCATATTTGTTATCAAAATCAACATGAGTAAAAATTATACATCTCTTATATTTCTATTTAGAATAAAATTTTATGGAAATATTTTATTACATTAGAAATAAATACTAAGGTCAAAAATTACATTAAAATATTATAAATCAACCGATATAAGATTAAGATATTATGCAACAGTCGTTATTTTTTTCATATTTATTTATAAAACAATTGGTTCATGTTAAGTTCATATGTCTGAATGAAAAAAAATATTAGAATATAATAAGCAGCTGATAATATTTACAAATCATAGTTAGAAACAAATGTTTAATTCTGATTTAGGCTTATTAAGTAATAAACATTTCTTTTTTTTTCTTTTACAGGTGTTACATGTTTCTTCAACATTCAAGAATTTATTGTAAAATAAGACATATGTCTGCATTTTGAGTGATAAAATAAAAATGTATATGATTTATTTTCTAGTTGTCTAATTATATACAGTTCAGTATCATCAATATTCAACAGTTGGGTATTTTGATCACTCTTAAGACTAAACTATCGATGCTAACCTGCCGATATTGAAACTTTTATTTTGTTCCTAAGTTCAAATATGTTGAATACTATGTTACGTTAGAGAAACTGAATTTTAATTCATTGCTGCAACATAGTAAACGTACTACATCATCGAATAGTACCCACTGAAACGTAATGCTAGGATTTTAAAGTTTGAAATTGAAGTATTGGATAAAATTAATAAAGTTTTGCCGGATTTAATTTTGCTAACTGTGCAAATAAACAGCTGTTCCGTAATATTGACTTACGAATCTATTTCAAATTCGATTCTATAAGAATATGAATACCAGCGTGTAAATTCCCGTAAGTCATAAATCTTCTGTATCCTCGTCTCTCAGGTAGGAGCAATTTTTTCAAGAGCAAGTTTTATTCCTTTCCTGAACCATTTTTCATAAAAAATATTATTTATGTTAATGTCATAATAGATAGTTTTAAAATATAAACTGTTTTTTATTAAAAAGTTAGGAAATTTATAATATGCAGTACTCACTCTAGGAAACGTTATTTGAATTTAATTTGAAAAGAAAATGCATTTTCAAAGCAAGAAAAAAAACATTTTTCCCCAATTAATTTAAATTTTAAAGTAATTATTGTAACATTACAGAAGTCTATGAAATAAAAAGAAAAGAATAGCTAAAAATATGTTTTTAATTGTTCGCAATTAATATTTTACTCACAAATAAGATTTTTTTATTTTCCAGTTTAATTCTATATTTATAAATATCTCGACATATTTAATTAGTTTTGATAGGTTTGAAAAAAATAACAAATATTTAAACCACCTTTTGTAAAAAAAATTTCTTTAAACAACCTAATTCATCAATTTTGCTTTAAAAGAAATTGAGAAAATATATTTAAGTAAGATGTCAATTAATTTGCAGTTAAAACGAAAATTTCAAATTTCAAAAAAATTTCTTACGAGGAACTTTCCGAAGATGGGAAAATAATCTTAATATTAGTATACAAAAATCTAATTTTTGCGACAAGAACTAATTATGAAATACCTATTACTCTAACAAAATATTTGATTTAAATTACGATAAAAAGAATCAGCTCCCAGAGAGGCCAGGTACTTTTCACCGTTTAATCACTTTTACTGAAAAAATGTTTACTACAAAAATAGTTTTTTCAGTAATATTTATTCTAAAATCTCTGAATCAGTATAATTACTGCCTAAATTACGGTATAAAATTTTACAGTTAGAATAAATTATGCGGATGCTGTACTCTTAAAGTAAGGTAATTTGATCCGGAATTCTTTTACAGTGTACACTTTAAAATCGCAATTTGCTACAGAAGTATCTGATTGGAAACCATTGTTTTACTAATTGGTGTACCCTATTATGATTCGAATACCTAAAAATCATTAAAAAACCAAAATGTTTAATTCATTCTGAATGCCATTTGTCTGTCTAAGAAAAATTTGCCTCTGACTGAGAAAATCATTCATAATTACATAGACCTTAAATAAATTGTTAAACTAATGAAAAAATGCAACAAAAAAAAATATTAATTGAAAGTTTATGTTTCACATGATTTGTATTACTTTCCATACTTTACTTTCAGGTTTAAAATTCATTTAACTATTCGAACGCAATTTGTTAATGCGAAAAATTCTGACTCAGATCAGATTACTTTCGGCGTGCCTAAGGGATCAGTGCTTGGACTACTACTTTTCGTAATCTAAACGACTTTTGCAAATCTAAAATTCGTGACAATATCATTATTTATGCTGACGACAAGGTTATTATCTTATCCTATGATGATTTTGCAGCAATGGAAAAATTTAGAAATCAAGATTTGTTCTAGATAAGAAAATGATTAATCGGCAATAATCTTGCAGTAAACTTCATTCAAGGATTAAACTTCATTCATTCTAGTTAACCCTTCTAATAAAAATATTTCTACCATTTTTCACTCAAATAGGTGCTCCGCCAATGCACGTGATTGCATTCTTTCAGACCCAGTTTTGTCTATAAAAAAAAAACAGTTGACCATAACCTAAAAAGGAAATCAAACATTAGTTATTTGATGAATAATTAAGATTCAATTTAATTAAATATTATCATTTATAGAAAACTAAGAGACAGAATTTTTCTAAAAAACATGTATTATGCATGGGTAAGAACTCAGTACTTAGTTATGGAATCAAAATATAGTGTGGGGATTGTTACAATTATGCTCGATTGTAATTGTCATTCTGAAATTATGGTAAGATAACCGCAGAAGTCAGTCCATCCGAGCAACTGTAAAGTTTATAATAAAGGACATTTTACGTTAAAGGTTTTGAAACCGTTTACAACCAGTATTGTTATAAAACCTAGGAATATTCAACTATAATTTTTCAGCCATTTACAACAAACAGGGTTTCAAAATTGGCTTTTGGTAAGGAAAATTGGAGGGAGCAGATCACTGAAAAATCTTCATGTCTTGAAAAGAGTGGAGAAAATATTGTGGTGTCATCTCAGGAGCTCGGTCCCTTGTTCTGTCGGTTATTAGACTGACAGATTAGCCCTCTCAGCTATAATATGTACGCAGGTGCAAAAGACGAAGTGACTTCATTCGGTGGGCTTAGTTGCTGCGATAAAACCTTGATTGCTAAGCCGTATTAGGCGAAAGTCAGCAATAAAAGACTTTTTTCACAGCGAACTGTTCGATTAGCATTCTATTTACGATTATTTGAATGTTTTGTTTGTAAATTGTAAAAGAACAATTTAATACATTATTAAATAACCATTTTTTCGAGAACTTTTCTAACAGTATATTTTCTGTTAACTAAAAATAAAAAACAAGCTTATTATACTGTTTTCCGTCGGCAGTTTTTAATTCTTAATTCGAAATTATCGCCTTATAAATATTTTTCCTTTCAAGCATCTATATTATTATAGGAAAGTTAATTTATTTTAATTTTTTTTCTCTTGTTCATGAAACAAGAGCATTATATTACATCTTAACAACTAATAATGTATCGATTCCATTTGCTCATAAAATTTTTTGCATAAAACTTATTATATTTATGAAGCGAATTGCTCAATAAATTACTAATAAATCCAAAAACCTCTATTTTAAACAACAAAAAACTATTGAAGCATTTATTTTTAAAATTGATGACGGATTGATTACTTTTTTAGCTCATTATAATTTTTTTTTGAAGCTCAACAGCATATCACTGCTAATTTTTTTTAGAGTCAATATTCATTATTTAATTTGTTTTGTGCTTAATGTTTAAGCATAAATTTTTGTTAACTCACTGTATGAAGATATTTTTTTTTCCGTTCAAATGTAGATTTTTCTTGTTTTTATTTACGTTACTTTATGCAAATATTTTTAATGTAACGAATAAATTCCTCTTCTTATTATTATTGCTGCATATATAACAAATGTTTACTCTTTTGAGATTATTGTAAATCAAAACAAATGAGAAATAAATTATCTAACATCAATTATCCTGAACGTTTGTGGGCTTACTACCGCAATATGCCTACTTTTTTTAGGCAATAAGCCTTAGTTTTGTGTGTACTAATGTTAGATTTAAATTACACTACATGCTTTTGAAACAGCTGTTTAAATTTTGTTACTTAATGATTGTTTATTTTAAGTCAGAATATATAAGGATAAATCATGCAATTTATACTTCCTGTATTCTAAATTGCGATAGAATCACAACTCTTTTGCATCTTCGTCTGTTAGGTAAGAAGATTTTGTTTTGTTCAAAACACTAAATTTTCTCATAATGCATGGCACAACATTTTCTTCTCAGATCATGTTTTAACTAATATAAATTATATCTAATCAGTAAAGATCTGAGTTACTTGAAACTTAAAAAGGAAGACCGATATAATATGAAATCATATTTTTTATTAGTAGTTTTAAAAACTACTTAGCATTACTTCACGTTTCGTAATGATTAAATAAAAAAAATTATTAAAAGGTTTCGTTTAATGTCAATAGTTCTTTTCACTATTTGAGCTGTTTCATTGGTTGTTAGGCAACGCTATAAAGGCCTTTACAAGCTTCTGAGTTTCTCAGAATTATTGAAAAATTTTAGTAATTAAAAAATATCAGTTGAACATGGTTTTAATTGAACATGGTTGCTTTAAAAATACAACTTTTCACAAGTAAAACCTAAATTAACCTATCCTATTCCATCTTGGATATTTCAAATTCTGGTTGATATATGTATGCTAACATGAAGTTTTTACTCCACATGCACATTTGTGAATCAAGTTAGTTACATGCATAATGTGCGAAGTAAAAAAAAGAAGAAGATTTACAATTATTTTCGAGCCAAACATACTAAATATCTTATGAATGAGTTTGATAAAGCAGAAAGTTGCGTGATGTGCTGATTTTGCTCTACCAAATGACATCTTATAGTTATTTATTCTGAAATTTTTAGATTAGCATTCTTGTGTTTGAAATGACTGAATTTGTGAATGCAATATTAAAAATACATTAAAATTTTATTTACGGTGTGATTATTAACTTGTAACTTTGGGGAGTAATATTTGTCAGCAGAATTGAGCGTTGTTTAAAAAGAAAAAAAATGATTGCTGTGGCCAAAATACAAACTAGGTTTGTTCCCATTAGAGAAAATTCATAGGTACTACTTTAACAAGGTAATGTGAGGAGTTGGTCGACAAAAATGAAGAAAACAATTAGTTTTTATTTCTAAAAACACTACGAATAATATTTTCTAAATTATATGATTTTTATTCGAATACTCACAATTTTGGGGAATCTTTTGCTGTTGAGACTGTTTCTCTCTGACATTTGTATCTAAGCTATTATATTTAAAGTTAAGATATATATTTCTTGCTTTAAAAATGTCTCTATACTTCCTAAAGCATTGCAGATAAAATGCTTTAAATGATAATAATGCATTACGTTTTGAAATACTAAT